TTCATATCAGCATGAAACACGTTAGTAAGTCAATGTGGTGTGCTTTGTGGCTCCAAGATAAAAATCGAGAAAGCAACTTTTAGTTCTAATTCATAACAAAATGGCCCCCAAAAGGTGATTGCTTCATTTAAACAAACACTCTTCTTTTACATAATCAATGTCTTCTTTTTAACTGATGTATCCTAAATCATAAAAGTATGATGAGAATGTATGAGAAGCTTAGATTTGAATTAAACCATTTAGCACAATGCTTCTGCAAAACTCTAATTTGCCCACTATCAACAATTATTCGGCCTCTGCTTTTAACGTTTCCAGGAATGGGGTGATCATATCTCCTACACAGCACTGTACAGTATGCCTTTGAGCAACTGTAAATGTTAAAATGTTGTTATATTGATGAGAAACACACTCTCCTCTTATACACATTTCTTCTCTGCCGGCACAGGGGGAACTCTAATATCTCTCTTCTCTATGACAAACCTTTAGATATTTGAAGGTTGCCATTGTGGAAATAAATGAAGACTACACAAATGAAAACAAGCAGAGAATATTTATCTATTTATTCAGAGCTGGTTATAGCATGGGAGTCAGCCACTATCACTTGCATTTACCAGAGACCCAAAGGCATACAGGGGAGTAGGAAAACTTTATAATAATAATTTTTAAAGGGAAGGCTTTGAATATGTTCTGATTGGAAGTTGTTGGCATGGGAAAACTGAAGAAGGGCTAACTAGAAACAGACTATCTTATGCAGTTGGTTTTGCGAGCGCATTTAGCTTTCTTCAGTTGGTTCTGAGTTGGAAATAGGGGTGAAACGAGGGAAACTGATCTTTATTTATGAAGTCCTGAATGTTTTGAGCCAATGGCTGCAGAGGTTGTGGGTCAACGTTCTAATGCTGCATATGATCTGGCCCAGCGCAGTGGCTCACACCTGTAATCCCAGCACTTTGGGAGGCCGAGGTGGGCATATCACAAGGTCAGGAGATCAAGACCATCCCAGCTAACACAGTGAAACCCTGCCTCTACTAAAAAACATAGAAAAAATTATGCAGGCATGGTGGTATGTGCTTGTAATCCCAGCTACTCAGAAGGCTGAGGCAGGAGAATTGCTTGAACCTGGGAGGAGAAGGTTGCAGTGAGCCGAGATCATACCACTGCACTCTTACCTGGGTGACAGAGCAAGACTCTCTCTCAATAAAAATAAATAAATAAATAAAAATAAAAGATCCACCTATTATCTGCATGTATATTTAATCTCCCCTCCTTTGGTTACTCTCTTTTTTTGGCAAAAGGATGTTGGTTAAAAGGTAAGATGAGGGATCCAGAGCTTCACTGCTTGATGATTGTTCACTTGTATCCTTAGTCAATTGTATCACGAGATCTTCTTAATCTTTTTTGTTGCCTCATCATTGCGATCATTTGATGAGAGAGTGGCCACATACAAGCATTTAAGACTCTATATGGAATTCAGTGTACCAGCATCATGGACACTATGATAAAAACAAAAACAATTTAAGTCAATTTAATATTGACCTGGTTCTTCAGAGCCAATGGGGTGACTGACTTGGTTCTTCAGAACCAAGAACTTGAATTGTCCAACCCAGTCTAGAAGAACAAATCTCACAGGTCATGAGAACCAAAATTAGAGAACCAAGTAGTCTTTTGTCAAGCTGACATGTAGACTTTTCTACCATACCTGTTTCACTGATCCAAGTATAGCAAGAAGTATCAGCAATGGTATAGATACCACCATGACTAGTGAAAAAAAATCCAGAAGAATTCGATTATTCAACTATCTTGCCAACAGTTGAGATGGATCTGTATTCCATCTAGGGTAGAGGTAGTATCACTTATAGTTTCTGCCACCATTAGTGATACATGTCTTGCAGTCTTCTGTTTGCATGGTTCCTATTGCTGGAAACTGCTTTGGTTGTTTGTATAAACAATGAATCAGTAACTCCTCCAAGTAAAGTGCCTGAATCCTAAAGGACAGCCTCATTTAGGAGCTTGCATCAGAGTTAAAATTTCCAGCCTTGATGATCTATAGAATTAGGGTGTCTGTGTACTGGTAAGATTTGTAATGTTATTTTTATAGTACATGACGTATGTGTGCATAAAGCAAGCAGGACTAGCTATCTAGATGCAAGGAAATTAGTATCTGGTAGGAACACACATGGATCCAGAAAAAAGAAATTATTCACGACCTGAGGTTGGGATCAAGGCTGTTCATTAGTTGGGTTACACATGTGAATCTCTATTAGTCTCTTTCAAGTGACAAATAATTGGTTCCTCTTCCTATGAAGGTTGTTGAATTCAAATTTATAATTACAGAGATTCTAACTAATCGATTATAATAATAGGGTGTGTGTGTGTGTGTGTGTGTGTGTGAAAGGGACATTAGCAAAATCACAGGTTGATTTATCCATGTAAGTTCAAGTGGAAATGCCATTGGATTTAATTCCCTGTGGTCTCATTTGATGAGACTGAAATTTTCCAAGGGTTTTTGATTATGGTAGTTTCGTGAGGGATAGCATATCCAGCAATCAATGAGCTTGAAGGTTACTATTTAGGATAATCCAAGATTAGTGTTAGAAAATGATTATGCTCTGATAGGAAATTTTAATAAGAATAAAATGAAGGAGAAAAAGAGTCATGGTGGGTGGGTGACTATCAGGGGTCTTTAGAAAATGAGAAGAATGATTGTAATTAAGTAGATAAAAAACAAAATGGCAATTACACCAGAGATCTTGATCCAATATTGTGGGGAGAAGCTGTCTACTCTCTGAGGTCATTATCTCCCTCTGAAGGTCTTGAGTCAGCTGTCTACTCTGAAGATTTAAGATTGTTACCAGTTTATCTGTACCATGATGAGTCATTTCATGGAGGAATTTAACTAGTATTCATTTGAAGCCATCTGGTTCCACCAAAAATGCCACAGGTTATCGGAGCAAAGCTAGAACTGGTTTTTGTTTGTTTGTTTATTTTATTTATTTATTTATTTTTTCAGAATCAGGGGCTAAATGTTGATATTTTATAATGGTATCTTATAATTACTCCAGAGATTTATTCTCTAAAATTTTAGATAGGTTCATAACCTTGATTAAGGCTGCCTCTTTAGCAAAATAATCTGTTAGAACATTTCTTTTAGCTTCTATATTGTTTATATTTTCATTAGCTTGGATCTTTGTAATGACTACATCTGTATGGAACAGGAGTGTATCTAGAAGTGTTTTAAACATCTTCTCTGTTTGATGGAGGTTCTAGCAGAGTTAGAAAACCCTTTGTTTCCAGAGCACCCCAAAGTCATGTATTTTTTTAAAAATTACCTGTATATATATTACTCTGAGGTCTTTGTCCAGTTAACGAATTCAAGTACGTACAATATTTCCGCCATCTGGACTAATTTTACCTCCGATAGAGGACTATATCTCACAGACACATAAATTAGTGGTAGCATACTCTGCTTGATAACCTCTAGTTTCAAGTTTTGAAATATGATCCAGCAACAAATAATATTTGGTCAGGGTTTTCAATGGCAGTTCTTAAAAATACTGAAGTGCAGAAAGTTTCCTGAGGTAAGAAAATCATGGGTTCACTTCTTCTGGTAGGGGCAGGAGAGTAGCAAAAATAGGGTGTTCTAGTGGAACAGTAATGTGAGAAGGAGAGAGTAACAATCTCTCATGAGTGTTTAATGCTAGTTGAAAAGTGTTGTGTGTTCAGAGGCAGTAGTAATGTCTGTATTGCATGAGGAACCATGAGATCAAGAGGAGAGTCTGTAATTAGCTCTGCAGAAGCACCAGGTTTTGAATTGGCACCTAGGCTCTTAAACAAGAGGACTAAGCCTTGGTAACCAGGTCAAGGTAATAAGTTTTTGATGATTCTTATGAAGTTGAGTTAAAACCCTAAGTGCTTATGCACAAGTAGGCAACAAGGCTTTCACTTGGGATGCCTATGGAAGAAATCTGTTGACAAGCCTTCCTCAGATTCCAGAAGGCCGGTTCTTGATTTAGACTGAGTTGTCACCATCTCAGGATCAATTTATTTGACCCTCGTTTGTAATATCCGATTAAAACATGCAATCCTCCTGATTGTTTTTTGAGGGATCTAGGATGTTTTTATGATCTTTAGTCATCAGAAGACAGTGATTTTCCTCCTCACATACATTATGCCTTCAATAATGAATTAGATTTTTGTAAAAATTATGATTTATCTTTTGAAACTTTATATATCTTTAGTGCTAAAGCTGAGAGCAAGTAATTGGAATCTTTTTTACAAGCTTCCTTGTTCTCTGAATGAAGTGGGAGATCATATACATATTGTAACATAGCTGAATCTCAAGAGAAAATTTAGGTCTTTTCATTTTTGATTGAGGACCTGGGAAAAATAGAAGTGGGCTTCAGTAAACCTTTGGGGCATGACTATTCAGGTTTACTGTTGTCCTCCCCAGGTGAAGGTAGAAAGCAAACATTGAGAGTGAAAAAGGGGAAGATGTCAGTTATATTTTGATTGGAGGTTGTTGATGGGGAAGCTGGAAGCAGACTAATTAGAAGCAGAGGATTTATGCAATTGGTTTTGAAACATATTTGGTTTTGTGTGGTTGGTTCTGAGTTGAGAACAAAGTTAAAAAATAGGAGAGCTGGAAGTCATTGACCAAGTCCTGACCATCTGGGGCTGATTGCTGCAGAGGTTATAGTTTGGCTTACCTGGTGGGTATGGCAGAGGTTGTGTGTCAGTGGTCTGTGGTCATAAGTGCTCTGCCCACTCTCCATATATTCAGTCTCTCACCGTTTTGTGTCTTGTAAATCTTCACATATAATTTGTCTCCAACTACGTCTAGAAATAATTTGAAAAATAATTGATATATGTAGTTAGATTTTTGCAAAGGGGATATATATTGTTTTGCTTAACAAACTAATGGCAGATACTTGAAAACATGAACTTTTCTCCTTAATTCCACTAGAGTTAATTTTTTTTCTCTGTAATTGTTTGTGTTGTTACAGAGGATCTTAATGATTTAAGAATGGAGGGAGTAACAACCCTGGTACCTTCTGGGAGCAAATTTAACCAAGGCCGTCCTACTTACCCGGCTGAGCCTCAGGCCAAGGTCACACTGAACATCTGTTCAAGGTGTGCCAGGTAAAAGACATAATAGGTATAGTATATATAAATATGATCTTGATTTTTAAAATCTAAGATTTTCATGCAAAGATTGTACTCTTCTGTGTTAAGAACATCTTTTCATTCCAGTGATCTTTTGTGCTAATATTGGCAAGGGAGTTAGTTATGCAGTTTATCCTGTGCCCAATGCCACTCACACCAACAATGAATCAAAGAGTTTAGATTGTCTTCACTTCACAGCTTGAGACTATTTTATGTCTTCTGTCTCTGAATTTCATTCTCTGTCCGCCATTCTGTTCTCTTTCAAAGAAGATTTAAGGGCTCTGAACATTCAAAGCCACTTTTAAAGCACCTGCATGGAGGAAGAGTTTGGCCAGGTACAGTTTAAGATCTGATATTATTGACCTCTTAACCTGCCCCTCATCCTGTTCACCTCCTGGAAAGAATTTAATCAGCTTGACGCTTTTCAGTTTTGGCAGCTGGAAGCAATCTTTGCATATACTGTATGTGGCCAAAGAAGTAGCTTGTAGTTACTGCCAAGTCAGCTCCCAGTGCTGGTCTAGCAGAAACTCACCAAATAGCTAGAATTCATTCTTTTGTAGGAACTAAATCTCATTTGCAAAGAGGCTTTTAAGCCTGTTTAAATGATAAAACAAGCCTTCTAACCCTTATGTAAATGGTCCAGATTAGCAAGAACAATGTACTGGCTGGCCAAATTTATCTCCTTTTCTTTATGTCTAGCTGCTCTATTGTACTGTTTGAGAGGAGATTAACTGCTTGGATATAGGGAGGGAGGAAAGTGTAGGAAAATCAAACCAGATTTTTGTAGCTTTTTCTCTTTTGCTTTACCCCTTTGGAAGTTTTTTTAATTTTCACAGGCTTAGAAAAATAGAAAGGACAGCTCTTAGAAAATCAGGGATGTTATTTGAGGCCATTTAGAGAAATGGCATAGCATAGTGAAAACAGCAACGGAAACATTGCTTCAGACAGTAATATTTGGTGGTTGACTTTTTTTTGTAGGGCTGTGAAGAGAACTTCTAATATTTATGTGATGATATTTAAGCATCCTGAGTGAACACAGTCATTGGTGGATGAGTTGTATGACATTTTGTTATAAACTTTGTAGTATAGTTGTACATTTACATTATGACTGGAGAGGGGTTGATGCTTGGTTCATGTCGTTTGTAGTAGACTGGGATATGAGGTGTTTGTTTTTTCAAAACGGAAAGTTTATAAAAAATGTTTTTCTAATAGATTGAGGATTTGAACTGCAAAAGGACCAAGCACATTTGTAGCCCTAAAATTGTCATTCAGCTTGCCAATGATAAACTGTAAATCATAAACAACCTGCATTTAAAGTCAGAACATAACAGAATTTTTCAACAAACATTCAATGGAATAATAGTTGGTGGCATGTACTACATTCTTGCTATAAACCACATACTATTCTAAAGACATTAAATGTGTAAACTGATTTAATTTGCAGATAATTCTCAGAGTTAATTACTATTACTATACCCATTTTATAGATAAGAAAACTGAGGCATGTATTGATTGAATAACTTGTCCAGAGTAATACAACCAATAGGTAGAAAAACACAGTTTGAAACTTAGGCAACATAGGTTGACAGTCTACCTACTAGTCATTCTGCTTTATTGGTAAGCATCAAGCTATTGTCTGAAGGTGAAGATGGAGGCCTCAAATAGATAAAAACAATGAGATAGAAAGTGATTTAGTTGTTTGAAATGATGAAAGTTCATGACTGTTTTGTTGGAGAATAAGGCATTGTTTTACTTTCAAAAGCAAAGGAGAAATATATTGATTCAGATAAATGTGGTAAACAGTATGGAAGAAGATTCTAGACTATTCATTTTAGAGCAGCTACTATAGCTAGAATTTAAAGAAGGAAAAACAAATATCAGTTGTCAAGAACTTTAGAGAATCTGAGATTTTATTGCATTTGGAGCTTTATATTTATAATATATATTTACATATTATATTATGTTTTATGCATACTAGGAAAACTCATGAAACACCTGGGTCAGAGACCAAGGACTTTACTACTTACAGCAATAATAATAACCAGGGTATTAGCATCTTCACTGGTTTCCTGAGCCAGAATTCTCAGAGTAACACAAATAGTGCAAAAGATTATATTATGTAAGAGGAAACTAAACTTAGAAAATGTGACTATTCTGTAAGAGACCGTTAGCACTCCTATGTGTTGCTCCAGGGAGGGCCTCCATCTGTATCCTCCAAGGCTGTGTGCTAGATCAGCAGTCCTCAACCATTTTGGCACCAGGGACTGATTTCATGGCAGACAGTTTTTCCATGGATGGTTGATAGGGTGGATTTTGAGATAGAACTGTTCCACTTCAGATCATCAGGCATTAGGTTCTCATATGGAGCATGCAACCTAGATCCCTTCATGCATGGTTCACAATAGGGTTCATGCTCCTGTGAGAATTTATGGCTGATCTGCCAGGAGGCGGAGCTCAGGTGGTAATGCTCCCTTGCCTGCTGCTAACCTCCTGCTGTGCCAGGAGGTTCCTAACAGACCACAGACCAGTACCAGTTCATGGCCTGAGGGTTGGGGATCCCCATGCTATACAAATATTCTTGAACAGATGATCTTAAAAAAAAGGCTATTAGTGTCTTTAAACATGAGAGACACATGGAGAACTATCTCCCAGTGCTACTTTGGGTAGATTACTTTTGTCATGCATTGATGTGTTTATCAAAGCTTTCCATCATTAATTCTCCAACACCAATCCATGTCACTGTCCCACCTCTCTTTTTGCAAGTAAGGTATTTAAAATGGTGAGAATTATACTTTCTAAGCAGGGCTGAGCAATTATCAGAGGCAGAAGTCATAAGCTGAATCACGGTGGGGAATGTCTGGTTGTATTGTGTGTCCACATAGTACTTTGAAATACCACTTGATTAGTGTCTTAGTCTATTTGGGATGCTATAAAATACCATACAGAAATACCATTAACTGTCTTATAAATGACAAGTATTTATGTCTCCCAGTTCAGGAGACTGAGAAGTCCAAGATCAAAGTGCTGGCTGATTCAGTGTCTGGGGAGGACCTGCTTCCTCATAGACGGCTGTCTTCTCATGGTGTCCTCGCATGGTGGGAGGATGAGCTAGCTTTCTGGGGTCTTTATTATAAGGGCACTAATTTCATTCACGAAGGTTCCATCCTTGTGACCTAATCACCTCCCAAAGTCCCCACCTCCTTATACTACCACACAGGGGGTTATGTTTCAACATATGAATTTGGGAGTGGGCACAAACATTCAGTCCATACCAATTAGTTACCAATCTCACATAAAAAAATCAGGATATCTACCTTCTCTTAAAAATCAGTGCAGCTTATAACACTGGGTCTATATTCTGGAGAGATATCACAGTAGTAGCTTCCTCCTTCTCTAGACCCTGAGGCCAGCAGTCATCCTCCAGTGCACTTCGGTTGGTCAGCTTAGCTTCATTCATTTACACTATCTGTCTAAAGTCTGGAGGCCTTTGTTTGTAACCTCTGAACTGTAGAAACACCGTGCAAAGGGGTAAAGACTCTCCCTTTTCCTTCTAAGCATTTGATAAGTGAATCTATGAAATAAACGCACAATGGCAGGTTAACAGGAGAAAAGGTCTACAAATTTATTATGAACTAAGCGGCATCACAGGAAAGAAAAGTGAATACCCAAAAACCTAGTGAGATTCAAGAGCTTAGATACCCTCTTCATAGGGGAGAGGGTAAGGGGAATGTAGGCAACTTAGGGGAGACAGAATGATTTTGGGAAAAGAAGAATGAGTCTTTGGGACAATCAGTGATAGCTTGTGAGAAGGTTTACCTGGGCATGGTGTCAATTCCTAGCCTCCCTCTCCTGTGATAAAAGTTCATCTTCCTTGGTTAATGAAACTCCCAGGGAGGTGACTGATGGTAATGATGAAGTTCCTTTTGGAGAATCTGTCTTTAGGCAGATGAGGGAAGTTCAAAGCAAGCCTCTTGTTGCATTTGCTGTTTTCTAAGTGCCTTCAGCTCAAACTAATCAGTATACCAAAACAGCATATTTTGGAGTTGCATGTTCTAATCTCCTTCAGCTAGAACTTCAAGGGTAAGCAATGAATCAGGTCTGGAAGAATGCAGGTGAAAGAGCCTGGCCAGGCCAGTGGGAGAAGGATCCAGTGCCAAGAAGATACAGACAGCATTCCAGTGTCTCAGAGTGTCAGGTTATGGGCACGAGTTTAAGGCAAGCAGCCTGTAGTCTTTAGAGCCAGGTAATCCTTCAGAATCCAGAGAGAGTGAGCCAGTCAGAAATTCAGTGCTGTAAATCAGACCAACATGTAGAAAAATGACTGCTTCATTTAGGGAACTGCGCTCATCCTCATTGCTTTCTTTCTCAGCATCTATATTTTGTGGGGAAGAGACAGATGAGAGGAGAATGCAGAATTCATGGAGCAAAACCAGACACTGGATTTTAACCTTGGAATCAGGATTTAATTCCAAATATTGCAGGATTGGAGATAGTGTGGTGCAGATGAGTAAGAAAATTTAGGATAACGAATGTTAAATTATATCACTTTACTTACCGACACCTTTCAAGAGTTTACACAAAGGTAGAATAGAAAGACAATCTGCTTTGGAGTGTGACAAAAGGGATCTGACATCCACACTCTAAATTACCTGGTATGTTATTTTAGGGAAAGCACTTAAAATCTGGTTCTTTAGCTGTGAAAGGGAGTTCATATAGCCTTGGAGATCATTTCCAAGGGCAACTGGGAAGGCTGGATATGATAACTAGAAAAAACTGTTTTCTCTTTTTCTCGCATGCTGGCATAATTACTGTGTAAATACTTGAGCAGTTTAAAATACTTTGAGTCTTTTTCCTCATCTTTTTGAGAAACTCATGTTAAAATGCTAAGATATTGAGGAAAAAAGAGACTCATTTTCCTGACATTGAGTGTTTTCTCTCTGCCTAAGACTTCTGACTGGCCAGGGGAGAAATCTCTG